TAGTAGTAGTAGTAGTGTTAGTGTTATCATTAATATTAAATGTTATTATGACTGTTGTCATCATTAATGTTGTTGTCATTATTGCTGTTACAGTGAATAATTGTTGCTTCGACTTTTCTATGGACTTTTGCAAGGGCTCCGCTGGGCTGCTGACAAGGCTTTGTTAGCCCTGTTTGTAAGGGCTTCTTTCAGGGACATATAAGGGTCCTTCGTGAGCTTCCATAAGGATTCCGCGAAGTGTTCAGAAGGGTTTCTATAAGTGAACCCTAAACGGGTTCACTCAAGTTGTTAGATGGGGTTGTCTGCGCACGGTTAAGATTCATATCGCGACTTCTTAAACCCAGTAGTGTTCTGCTGTGCAAACCCTAAACCCTAAACCCATGATCTGCAATTCTAAGGAGACCCGGGTCACAAAGTAGCATTAGAGCAGGCAGCGAAACACGGGGTTGCTTATGACCCAACACAAAGCCTCCTTACTGGAGCTTAAGGTAGGGCCCCTTCATAGTTAGAATACGGTTGTGCGGTACATTATACTATAGTTCTAATAAGGATCCCCCAAAATAGTATAGGTAATTATTTAAGCGCCTATGTTAAGTTGGGCCCCTATATTACAACCTTTCGTGCTGGTAGAAGTTTTAAGGCATTTTGGTTTCGACGGGCTGTGGGGATGTCAGGGGCCCTAAACCCTAACCCCTCGCGACATCCAGCGCCGACAGGTCCCACGCGCTAAACCCTAAACCCCCAAACCCTAAACCCCTGAAACCCTAAACCCCTAAACCCTAAACCCAGTGAGACCTTTCGAGCTTTGATTTTGGGGTCGAATTCAGGCTTTAAGGGTTGGGGTCTCAGTGTTTATGGGTTTTCGGTTTAAGGGTTTTCGGGTTTAGGGTTTAGGGGTTTTCGGGTTTAGGGGTTTTCGGGTTCAGGGTTTTAAGAATTTCGGGATTTAGGGTCTTAGGGCTTAGGGGTTTTCGGGCTTAGGGCTTTAGGATTTTGGGGACTTAGCGGGGTTTCGGGTGTTGGGGTTTAAAGTTTAGGGTTGCTGCATCAATTTGCGGACCAGTGAGCCTCTAGAAGGCTTTGGGTCTTCTGGGTTCACTGGGGACGAATAAGGATCTTTTCTTACAGCCTGCCGTTTTAAGCTAGTGTTGTCAGGAAACGCATGCCACCAACTGTATGAAAAGATCCCTACATGTTAAACCCCAAACCCCTCAACCGAAACCCCAAAAGCCTTAACCCCGAACCCCCTAAACCCTCAAACAAACCCCTGACTCCCTAAACCCTACATACTAAGCTGGGAGGATCGCTGGAGCCTGGTGTCTTTGAAGAATGCTGAATAATTGTAGAACAAGTAGCAGACGGCGAGAAAACCTGGGATTGGTCTGGGTTTTTGGGGGGATAAGCTTGAGGGGTCCAGGGTTTAGGGGTGAGGAGGCTTAGGGATTTAGGGAGTGTAAGGTGGTCTAATGGTTCGAGGTTGGGGCTCCGCGATCGGTCAGTGCGCGTAAAGCAACTGAGCATCGACTGTTGGAGCTCCCCTTTCGGGGGACAGGGGTAGGTTTCAGTGCCCTAAACTCATGTTTATGTGTTTGCCTTCCTTGGAGAAATTCGGCATGGTCAAAACTAAGTGGGGAATCATAACCCTGTGCCTCTACCCTAAACCCTAAACCCTAGACCCTACAAAAAAAACAGCAAACCCTCACAGAGCCCTCACACCATAGGACCCTGAACTACTGTACAACCCCACAGCGTCAGCCCAGATGCTCAACAGAGGGATACAAGTCGCCAGCACGCACAAGGCATCCACTGCAACGCTAGTCCATCTCCTGACTACCAGGTGCTGGGGCCTAGAGGTTTAGGGTGCAGGGTTTAGGTTTCAGTTTAGGATTTAGGGTTTCAAGTTTGGGGTGTAGGATTTAGGGTTTAGGATTTCAGCTTTAGGGTAGGAGGATTGAGCCCACCCAAAACAAAGTTATGTTCTTCAGTCATGCTGGATGCCGACAACGACGATGACGAGGATGATGATGAGGGAGAGTAGGCGGATGACGTTGGTGACGAGTTTGGATGATGATGATGATGGTGGTGGTGGTGCTCCTGCTGATGATATCGATGACACGACTGGTGACAATTGCTGCTGCTGCTGCCACTGCTGGCAGTCCTAAGGTGGCGACTGTGATGTCGTCCACTCTGGCTTAATGTAGGGGCCTCCATAATTAGAATAAGGTTTTGGGGCTCGTTATACTGCAATCATAGTTAGGAACCCCCATAATAGTATTGGTGATAATTTAGGCCGGCTTACTGCTGTGCTGTCATCATCATTCAAATCAAACCGATGTCCCTGATTTTGGGAGGCTTCCCCATCGTCCCCGAACCCGGGTTTCCCGTGCTTCTACCTACAAGGCCAGGGGAAGAAAAGCGTCCCCAAAAACGCTAAAACCCCTAAGAACCCCAAAACCTCTAAGAACCCTAGAAGCCTAAAAAACCCTAAACCCAGAAAACTTGCGTTGTCAGTGAGGCTTACTCAGGGCTCCGTCTGCTGGAGTTGAGACGTCGGGTTTAGGTCCTAGGGTTGGGGGTTTAGGGCTTTAGGGTTTTAGGGTTTAGGGTTTAGGGCTTTAGAGTTTTGGGGTTTCGGGTCTAGGGGTTTATGAAACCATAAGCCCGAAATACTCAAAACCCAAACCCTCGACCCCGGAACTCCCAAACGCCTACACCAAGAAGACAAAATACGTAAAACCCTGAACCCATTAATCCGTAAACCCTAAACCCTAAACTCTAAACCCTAAACCCTAAACCCTAAACCCTAAACCCTAAACTCCTGAACTCCTGAACCCCTAAACCCAGACCCTAACACCCAGAGGCTGCTGGGCGTCTCTTCAATGTCGATCAGAGGCAACTTGTCCGCCTCATCGTCGCTTGAGCTCTCGTTGTCTTCTTGGGTCGAAAGCAGGGACTTCTCTTGGCTCCTTGGCAGATGACGCTTTGATATAGGGCCCTAAACCCTAAACCCTAAAGCCTAAACCCTAAACCCTAAAGGCTTTGTCGGTTTAGGGTTTAGGGCTTAGGGTTTAGAGGACTTCTCTTAGCTCGTTGGCGGACGAGGCCTTGATACAGTCATGCCTTTATAGGTTGTTGTGTGGGCGCATGGGATTAAAGTTTTGGTTTAGGGTTTAGGGTTTAGGGTTTAAGGTTTAGGGTTTAGGGTTTAGGGTTCAGGGTTTATTAGAAGTGCTCTAGAGAGTTTTACACTGTGTTTACCGTCGGGGCCTTCATTTTAAGTTGGAGTTTGGGATATCTTATGTGTGTCATGATAAGGACTACAAGGGGACACTGTTGCGGCTTGTTCGGGACGCAATCTGTAAGTTTCAGACGTTCGGGGCTTGCGGTTTCTTTCCGGCGACTTGAGCGACTGCCAAAGCAGGGAGCATCACGCCGAGTCCATGAACCAAGTTGTGAAACAAAACACATCGAAATGCCCCAAACCCTAAACCCTATTCGGTCCTTTCTGTTTCTGGTGCCTTATAAAGATTCATCAACGTTTCGTATGGGGTTGCTAGAATTAGGCGTATCTCATCTAGAGCTCCTGGCAATATAGATCCTACTATGTAGGGTCACATTAGGGTGCCTGATGGAGGAAACCTCCGAATTAAAACATCTAATGCTGGTCACTAAACAACCCGAAGCAAAACCACCAGAGACAAGGAAGAACACCATAACAGTGAAGACTTGAGGGAAACAACACCCTAAGTGACTAGATTGTGAGACCGTTGGATTACTGTAGACTGTTCACTCTCAAAGCATGCTTTCTATGAGTACATGGATTTAGGGTCTGGGCTAGGGGGCTAGTGGAAAATCCCGCCAGATAAAGCGACAAGCGGTGCTCACGATCGTTTCTCGTTTTAAGTTCTGCGCGGATCGTGACGGCTGGCTAGCAGCGAGAGCCGAGGGAGTGAAGCAAGTTAGGGTTTAGGGTTTAGGGTTTAGGGTTTAGGGCTTAGGGTTTAGGGACACAGAAAGGATGCTCTTGGGAGGAACACGGACACTCCAAATGCTCCTGGAAAGTAGCCATCGAAATCAGTAGCACCAATGATGCCCACCGCAAGAACCCCCCAAACTCCCGGGCAAAGCCTGAGCCACAAGACCTGTCTGCACATGCCGCCCCCTAAACCCTAAACCCTAAACCCCCCGTTCTACTTCGCTGAGAGGCATCTCGTCATCTGCGGCAACTTCCCGCGCGGCCATGTCTGTGCAGGCGTCGGAATCGACTCCCTGTGCTCTGAACCCCAATTCACACCCTACCCAGACCCCCAAAAGGATCTAAAAAATAGATCCCTTAAAGGGGTTCCTATAAAGTACCGTTTAGTAGTTAGGGTCCCTAATTAGGGGATCTGTTTTTTAGATCCTTTTGGGGGTCTGAGTAAGCCTCTTATGTGCCACCCTGAACCATGCACGTCGCGCTGAAGACGCAAATACTCGAATAGGCTTTCATACCCCAATGTGCTGCTAGGATCTGCCGAGCCGAAATATGGCGGTCAGGGTTGAGCAGAGTGGGACAAAGAAGAAGCTAAGAAGAACAAGAAAACACAACGCCGTCCCTAACGCTGGCTCTATTGAAGGTGCATGTTGCTGATGCTTGTGTTGGTGTTGTTGGTGGTGCGGCTGCCGCTGTTCCACTAGTAACAGTATGGTGATTGAGAGGTCCCCGCAAAGTGCTCGACGGCGTTCCGGCAGGTCTGTTGGGTTTAGAATGGAGCGGCTCTCGGTGCGTAGGGGTGGCTCGTCTGACTGGCATCTCACCAAGCTCTCGTACCCAAAACAACGTCAAGGTTGAAGTGTGCGATTCGTACGAATCATCCTCAACACCACCATGCATCACCATCATCACTAGCATCATCATGATTGTGATAGCATACCACTGTCATCGCGATGATTAATAGTAGCACTCATTGCCTGCCACGACACCCTCATCCCAATCCGAAACCCTGAACCCTATTTAAACCCCTAAACCCTAAACCCGAAACCCGAAACCCTAAACCCGAAACCCGAAACCCGAAACCCATAAACCCCTGTGCTGGGAAGCTTGGCTCGCCAAGTTTGGCCATTGGGGCTTGAGGTGCTGGGATGGGGGAGGATTTGTTCGGTTTAGGGTCGAGGGATTCGGGTTTAGGGTTTAGAGTTTAGGGTTTAGGGTTTTGGGACAGATTTGTTTGCAATTTTTCCCCCGAGACTACGAATCCTCCTGCTCCGCAGCTTCTGGTGTCTCGCCAGCAACCGCAAGCTGCGCAGGCCAGAGCTCATCCAGGAAGTGGTTCAGGATGACAATGCAGTGCGAGGTCAGCAAAGGCGTTGCACCGACAGTTACAGGCACGACACCAAACTCTGCAGCTAGGTACTCCACTTGCTCACGCGTCAACCCGGTCTGGTCACCCACAATCAAGACAATCCGGGAGGCCCCCTCAAGCTGAGCCCTTTGAAGCTCATCTCGGATGTGCACATCAGCTTCCTCATGGAGGACGACGGCACAGACTTTGGCAGATGAAGCCGCCTGAGCCACTTCTACCGGCTGCTCCTTTGCCTTTGCCTCGATGCCAAGGTCAGATAGGAGCTTGCGCAACGACGACACCTCCTCGCAACTCCATCCTGTGCATCGTCGCTGCACTTTGGCGTTGGCCGTAGCGTTGCTCAGCACGGAGGTGAATGTCTTGGCGAGCCACCTGACCACGCGGGGCTATCTTAGGAGTACCTGGTTTAAAAGTTCTTATGTTCAACAACTTAGTGCTTCGGGTCTACAGTCTGTAGTTGCCTCCCTGATTTTTCACACTCTCCTATACATAAATTTCAGTACATGTACAACTCTTCTCCTCTGAAGACACACGGCATGACATCCACAATCCAGCTCCTGTCATGATTCCGCGGCACCCTCTACTCCGACCTCTCTGTCGGAATGAAAGCGCCGCGAGTCTTTGGAATGGCGCTGCCGACAATCTTCACCTAGGCAGTCGAAGCTTTGAGACGCCCCTCGCTGCAAGGAATAGCGGTTTTATGAACGTATAATAAAAACATGTATCATTACAACTCTATAACCATATGAGATCATATCGAATAGCACAAAAGATTGACCTATAGCAATATATACAAACATACGTAAGAGCGCTGAAACCTCAACTTCGTTTCCGACACCTAGAGCACAGCCACGAAAAAATGGATCAATGCTCTCCGCATCACACATCGAAATCCGAACTCCAAAAAGAACACTGAAAGAACTTCCTAGCCACCTCCCACGGGTCCTCTGTACTACATGGGGGTAGCTCTCTAGCTTTGGGTCCCTTTTAGGTTTTATAAGGGTGCCGTACAGTATTGGGGACTTAAACAGGGACGCTAATTTAGAGAACTACCGACATGGGTTATTGGAGCGTTACAATAATCCGACAAGGGTTGCTACCGGGGCGAATCAATGCTGTACTAAGCGGTTTCGACTCATCCAGGATGACAAATCTCAAGGCTCTTACAAACGGAAGGCCCGAACAACATGGGAGAGAAAAGGGAAAAGCCTTCGACAGTCACAGAACGATACGCTCGACACGACATTCTTTCGCCCGCACGCCACTAGCCGGCAAACCCAAGCCCTAAACCAAACCCTCCAAACCTAAACACAAACCCTAGGCCCTAAGACCCAAAACCTCAAAACTTAAATCCTAAACCCAAACCCTAGGCACTAAACCCAAAAAAAAATCAAAACCTAAATTCTAAACCCAAAAACCCGAAGTCCTAAGCCCTAAACCCTAAACCCGAGGCCCGCAACTTTCCCTCGGCCCCAAACCCTATACCCTAAACCCTAGGCCCTAAACCCCAAAAGCCTTAAACCCAAAACCCTAAACCCTAAACCCTAACCCAAAACCCAAAACCCAAAAAAGCCCTAAAGCCGGAACTAAGAGCTGGTGGCTGGAGTCCTGGCAACAACTGCTGGGTGTGACCTTGTCCTGTTGCCCAGTCTCGTCATCGCTGAACAGCGCGGCTAGCGGGTCCTGCCCCGCGCTCCGTGTCTGCGGATGCCGCTGGTCTCGTCGCCGGAGCCTACCTGACAGTTACCCATCAGCATGCACTCCTCGTGCTGCGGTCCGTCACCGGCCTCTTCCAAGGTGCAGCTGGCCAGGTCGACTTCCTTAGCCCTCATCACTGTTTCCGTTTGCTCCGCACCTGTTCCCCTCGCGGCCTCCTCCGTCATCGGACGACCCAGCAAAGCCTCCATGGTTGTGCGGAGCTTGTCGCGGGCCTCGCAGCACGACTCGCTTACCACGAGATTCTCATTCGCTCTCGATTGGGTGCACCTTCTGCTCTTCTTTGGTTGCCTCGTCCTTTTTCTTTTGCTCCGTGCACGACTTTCTTTTGCGCCCGGCTTCTTTGTCGCGCCACTCCTGGTTCTTTTTCGGGCCTGACGACATTTCAAAAGTAAGACATGTCACCTTCTGGGTTCCACTTCCCCCGGCTGGGCTTCTTCGGAGCCCTCTTCGGAGCCCTGCCTCTTGCTGCTCTTTCAGGGCAGCCCTGCCCTTCTGGAGGTTGGCGGTGCAATCCTGCTTCTTCATTTTTCTGGCCTCATCGAGCTTCCAATACCCCAGACTGCAAACCACTTCGGCCCCTGCCTCGAGCGCCTTTTGGCCCCGGCCTCCCGCTTCTGCTTGGCCTCCCGAGCGGCCTTCTTGGCCTTGCTTTTCAGGCTTTCAACGCATTCCTGTCCTCGAAGTCGGCCGGCTAGTCTTTTCGCGAGCGGTACCCCACCTGCGCAGGTCGTGGTGTGGGTTTCCGGGGCTGGCGCCTGCCGGTTTCTGCCTTGTGCTGCTCCATGAGCATGACCAGGAACGGCCGCAGCATGCCCATGGAGGGTTCCAAAGCTCCACGTGAGACTTCCAAGGCATTGGCCTCGGCTGCTCATGCGAGGTCTGCAGCTCCAAACAAGCTCTGGCAGCGCCAGGGTCTCGGGCCACCGTCACGAACAGGTCCGTGATGGTGCTTTCGCGCAGCTCTGCAACGTTCAGGCCACACATGATGAGGTTGAGCTGGCCTCAGAAACTTGCGACTTGGAGTGTTACTTGTCGTCGCTGGGCCCGGGACTACGGCGGCGAGCCTCATGTCGGAGCTGCGGCCTGTTGAACCCTGACGCGAGGACCCGATGCTAAACGTCTCAATGGCGGCTGCTGTCTATCCGTTTTTAAGCGCCCATAAAAAAATGCAGAAGAGAATAAGCTACAAAACCCTAAAGCCTAATAGAGTATAGTTCGGGGATGGCCGGGGTGGGTTTCCGAGCAACGCGAGCGCGCGGCCCGGGGTGCTCCACACCCGAGTGCGCGACCTCTCCTGGCACACCCATAAACCCTAAACACCATGCCCAAAACCATAAACCCTAGGCCCTTCACGCTCAACCCCAAAACCCAAAACCCTCAACCCCAAAAGCCCAAAACCCAGCGCCCTCAACCCCAAGAACCCAAAACCCCAAACCCTAAACCCTAAACCCCAAACCCCAAAAAGCCAAAACCCAAAACCCCAAAAAAGCCCTAAAGCCAGAACTAAGAGCCGAAGCGCGATCTTCGTGGGCTCAGCATCCTCCGGGTGCTCCCCAGCTAGGCTCTGCAACAAGGCCTGGTGCAGGGCTTCGGGGTTTATGAGTTTAGGGTTTATGGGTTTAGGGTTTAGGGGTTTGGGGGTTCGGAGCTCCGTTTGGATTGAAAGTTTTGGGTTTGGGGTTTAGGGTCCTTTCGGGTTTAGGGCTCAGGGCTTGGGGTCCTTCCCTGTCAAGGGTTTGATATTTAGGATCCCGTGTGGGGTTTAGGGTATTTCTGAGATTGTTTGGTGTTGCTTGCGATTGGCTGGAGCTCCTGTTGGGTTCTCTCTGAGTTGTCGAGAGTTTCGAGTTGCCTGTTGGGCGTAAAGCTCTTTTGGAGTTTATTGGGGATGAGGCATCAAAACAACCTTCCAAGGAAAGCAAAAAATATTCGCCAGCCATCAAAAACATCCTTCCAACAATCAAAGAACGAGTTCAATAATATGACTTTCTGTGTTTTGTTAATTGTTATTTGTTTCCTCATTTATTTCTTTCTGTCGTTGTTTCTCCCTGTGCTGAATAGTTGTCCCTCCTTCTGTCTCTCTGTCTGTCTTTATGTCTTTGCTTGCGTTTTTCTTTCTTTCGAAGTGGCGTCCTTGCTTACTTCGTGTCTTGTTATGTCTTGCTGTCTTTCCTACTTACTTTCTGTCTTTCTTTCTGCTGTGCTGAATTGTTGTTATTCTTTCTGTGTTTATGTTTGTCCTTACTTCTTTGATGCTTTCTGCGTCTCTTGCTCTATGTCTTTCTTTCTTGATGTCGTTAATTATTTCTTTCTGCCGTTCTTTCTGATCGCTTTCTTTAGTTCTTCGTTATTTCGTAATTCTGCCGTTCTTGCGTGTAATTCGTTCCTTACTTATTTCTTTCTGTCGGTCTTTCGTTCATTCTATCTGTCTTTATTTATGTATGTCGTTCGTTATTTCTTTTGTTCGTTATTTCTGTATTTCTGTAGTTCGTTCGTTCTTTCCGTCTGTCTCTCTCTGTGCTGAATTGCTGTTAACTTTCTTTCTATCTTTCTTTCTATCTTTCTTTCGTTCGTTCGTTCTTTCTTACTTTCCGTCTGTCCTCCCCCCCGTCTGCTCTTGTGCTAGATTCGTGCTCTCCTCACATCTGTCTTAACAAACAGAGATAGTTTTGTTGATTGATACGAATTTTTTGATGGCTGGAAAAAGTCTTGAATGCCGATACAGTTTGTGTTGACAACTACCCTGTTGAGTGGCAGCTTTCGACGTTGAGTTTGGGATGATTTAGGGCTCTTTTGTTCATGGCTTCGGGCTTCGAGTTTGGAGTTTAGGATGTTTAGGGTTTAGGGCTTCGAGCCCAAACCTGGGTGTAGGTTTCTTGGCCGGTTTCGGGTTGAGGGTTCCTTTGGAGGAGTGACGGATCCGACTGTGTTGTTATTTCTGGTTCTACTCTTTCGGGTTTCGGGTTTAGGGTTTAGGGTCTAGGTCCTGCCTACAGAAATTTCAAAATCAGTACCTTAGAAGATTATAAGCAGCTTACTTGAACACCTCCTGCTTGCCAGCCAATAGTCTGTTCTCTGACCCAGGTTTTGGCTGTTTCGAAGACTGCAAGCTATCAGTCCGAAGCTTCAGTGCCTAAACCCTAAACTCTAAACCCTGAACCCCAAACCCCAAACCCTAAACCCCAAACCCCAAACCCTAAACCCTAAACCCTAAACCCCAAACCCTAATAAACCCTAAACCCTAAGCCCAAAAATCCTCCACGCAGCCTGCAACCCCACATCACCAACCCGAAGCCCCTCTGGGGCCTAGGGGTTTAGGGCTTAGCGCTTAGGGCTTAGGGGCCTAGGGTCTTTAGGGTTTAGGGTTTAGGGCTTTTGGGGCTTCAGGGCTTAGGGTTTAGAGCTTTGGGTTTAGGGTTGAGGGCTCGGGGTCTGAACTCGAGCCTTCAAAGTGATTCGCGAAGTGAGAAAGAAGCCTGAATGCACCCAAAGACTCCACCAAATATGCAATAGACCTCAACAATACAAACCCTAAACCCTAAACCCTAAACCCTAAACCCTAAACCCTAAACCCTAAAGCTAACCTTGGCCCTCAGCCCTGAACACTGAGCTCTAGTTTGAGGTTGACTCCGTAACCGAAGGATACCCAAAACTCTAAATCCTGAAACTTAAAACCCCAAACCCTAAACCCCTAAATCCCGAAAACCTAAACCCTGGGCTTCTGCAAAGCCAGAGTGGCTGTAGAGCTACCACTTCGGCAAGATAGGGGTTAGGTTCAGGGCTTCTTTAAAGGTTCAAGGCTTTTAGAGCCTTTAGGGCGTTTGGGGTTTAGGGCTTTTTTTGAAGTTTGGAAGACCTTTGGGGCTTTTAAAGCCTTTAGGGCTTTTCGAGTTTAGGGCTTTGGGTTTTTAAGGCTCCTAAGGCCTTTAGGGCTTCGGCTTGCGCCCGCCTGTCCGACGCGGCTGGTCCAGGACGGCTTCACCAGGGCGGCCAAGAAGGTCGTGTCTTGCCGAAGCTTCCGCGAACACCTCAACTTCGATAACCTACCAAGGGTATAGCATACCTTTAACTGCCAAAACCTACTTGTTTGTAGGGTCCCTGTAGATTCTATATTCGGGTTTGTAATAAGGACCAACAAAAAATTCGGTTATGCTAGTTCAAGGTAGAGATCTTAATTCTCAGAATAAGCTTCTTTTTTTCGGGTGCACTACTTACCTACAGGCATTCTTCCTGTGGGCCCCAATGATGATTACAATAGCATAGTATATCCAAAACCCCTATTTCTGACCGTAAGCCCTGCAGCCCTACATGTAACCCTAAACCCTAAACCCTAAACCCTTAAACCCTAAACCCTAAATCCTAAACCATAAACCCTAAACCCTAAACCCTAAACCCTACATGCAAGACAAACGAAGAGCTGCAGATGAGCGAACCGAGATCACCGGGACGGACTGGACTTGTGAAGCTGAGTCCAGGCACATCAGAGCTGCGACGGAGCATCGGCTGAAGACGTCGAACCTTACAGGGTATAAGGGTTTGGGGTTTAACCTTTGGGGCTTTTGGGTTTTAGGGTTTAGGGTTTAGGGTTTAGGGTTTAGGGTTTCGGGTTTAGGGTTTTGGGTTTAGGGTTTGGGGTTAAGGGAGGGTACCCAGAGACTCCAATACCCCTTAATTAAGGAATAAACCTTAAATCTTAATAGGGATCCTACTATAATTTAAGGTATATTCCTTAATTAAGGGGTATTGGAGTCTCTGCGTATAAGGGTTTGGGGTTTAGACCTTGGGGCTTTAGGGTTTTAGGGTTCTTCACTGAGAAACGCTTAAAAATACACAGAACCACCATGCCTGACTCTGTCGGCCATCCCATGTGAAAACACGCATAAAACCTAAACCCTAGACCCTAAATGCTGATTTGAAGGGCCCTGTCAAACTTCAATGCCCCAGCACTGTCTTAAGCTGGTAGTATATAGGGCGTGGGGATCTAACATGTCTTTAGATAAGAATGGGGGACTGGATAATTTGAGTAGGGCGTTGGGGTATATGCTGAAAAGCACAAGGGCTAGAACGAAGGGCATATGGCTATTTGGTATGCAGCTCGGTGCCCTAAACCCTACAAGTATTCTGATACTGACCTTTCAAGGGTTTAGGGTTTAGGGTTTAGGGTTTAAGGTTTAGGGTTTAGGGTGACCTTTCAAGGGTTATGGCTACAACCCTTTACGGAAGCCGCACAAGCATGTTACTATTCAAAGCATCCCCAAGATGGCGTGATCATACTTCTCAGAATTCCTATGTCTCCTAGAAGCCGCAAGCCTCAGTCATCCGAAAAGCCGAAGATGGGTACCTCTTACCGGAGTTCGGATTAGGGTGACCCTTGGGGATGTAGGCCCTCTCAATAAGGTCCCTTTTAAGAGAGCCAGCAGTGGGGTTAAGAAGGGTCCCCTTTGAGGGGTCTCCCGAGTACTTCCTATGATTCAAGTCCTGCACCTTCACCATTGCAAAGCCTAAACCGTAAATCAGAAACCCTTAAACCGTTAGCCTAAAGGCCAAACTGTTGAAGGCCCTCAACCAAAAAAATCCCTAAACCCCTGATCCCAAAGTCCTAAACCGCCCGAACCCTGAAACCCCTTCAATTCAAAAACCCCGCAGACCCAAGCCGCCTAAATATATCCCAGTGGCCGATGGAAATGGGAATGACCCGGAAGCACATCTTCGGCTGAGGCGATCGATCCGAAAGGCACCAGGAAGATGCGCTCCGGCAGCACAGAGCGTTCTGCAGGGCAGTGAGTCACTTTAAGGGTTTAGGGTTTAGGGTTTAGGGTTTAGGAGTCACTTCAAGGGTTTAGACACCCCGAGAGCCCGCACGCGACGGCAGAGCGTTTCAGGGTTTAGGGTTAATCTAGAGAGATCGACAAAGCCCAAGTTGCAGATTCAGAGAAACATATAGCGCGCATGATGATGAAAACCAGATGAAGGACGCTTCTTTGCTTAGGGGTCGGGTGGGAAAGGCGTTGGTGCGGCAGGACATGCTGAAAATTCGAAAACACTCTCGAACAATCACCAGCCCCAAAGATCATGTATAGTGTGGGTTCAAATCGGGACCTAGCTCTTCATCGGAGGGCCGCAAGGAACACAAAACCATGCAGCGGAGGCGCCTTAGGGGTTTTTTTTAAGTACAATGCGCCCCTGTTCTGTGCGACAGCAGGGCACTCCCCAGAGGGAGGTGCACTAAAGAAAATGAACTGACATGACATGAGCTCTCCGAGGGTTACGAATCCTCAAGCGCAGGCAAAGACTCAACGTTTGGGGCACCGAGACCAAGCAAAAAGGCGGGTAGTTTAAACCCTAAACCCTAAACCCTAAACCCCAAACCCTAAACCCTAAACCCTAAACCCTAAACCCTAAACCCTAAACCCTAAACCCTAAACCCTAAACCCTAAACCCTAAACCTGATTCAGAAACCTTGGGTCTCTGCGGTTCCCTTAAGGATTCCTTCGAGAGGTCTCTAGGGGTTCTATGTGGGCTCTAGTTTAGGAATCGGACGAAGAACCGGGGGTCTTTCCCACTCCCTTAGAGCCGTCAGGGTTCCTTTAAGGGATCTACAAGGTTTAGGATTCAGGGTTTAGGATTTATGGTTTAGGGTTTAGGGTTTAGTTTAGGGTTTTCTGTTTAGAAGGTTCCACCAGGGCTCTAGTCTAGGAACCTGATTAAGAAACCGCGGACCTTTATAAGGACGGATCCTCGTATTTTCGGGTTATGGGGCCAGGGTTTAGGGTTATGGGCCAGGGCTTCTAAATCAGGTTCCTACAATACCATTCACTCCATCGAGGCAGAACAAGATGAGGAAGACTAATGCTGCGACAAACAGAATAGGGTTTTGGGGGTGTCGTCTTGTATGATTCAAAATTTAAAACAACGAACCCTAAGGCATAGTGCTAAAGAAAAACTAGGTCCCTCTATTTCTGCTTTTTCCGATACTCCCACCGCCACCAAAGCCACCGCCACCTACACCACCAACCCACCACCACTTCCACCACCGCCACTACGCCCGCTTCCAACACACGGGCAACGGACTCCCGATGCTCAGGGGGTGTTTGCAAGCCCTCGCACCTCCGAAAGGAGCGGCTGCCAGCACAGAAGCACGGGGCGCACGGGGCGCTGCACACCTCCAAACCCTAAACCCTAGCCTAAACCCTGAACCCTAAACCCTAAACCTAAACCGTGGTTTGCGCTCTTGGGCTTCCAACTTCGGGTACAACGGTTTTGGAGGTTTTAAAGTTCATGGTAGTAGAATTATAATAAGGAGCCCCAAGAATAATATCCAGGGTTAGGGTTTAGGGTCTAGGGTTTAAGTTTAGGGTTTGGGGTTTAGGGTTTAGGGTCGTTGGCAATTATTCAGGCCTTTACGTTAAGGGCTTCTCGTAGGTGGAGCTTCCGGGTTCGTGGCTGTGGGATCTCAGATCGAAGGACTGAGGGCTTCTGGGGTACAGGGTCTCGGGGTGGAAGTGGAAAATACTAAAAAGCACCTAAACCCTAAAACCCTTAGCACTAAACCCTAGCCATATATATATATATATATATATATGCATATATATATATATACACACACATGACATTAATACGTATGGGTGTACCAAAACATATATATATATATACATATATATATATATAGAAACCCTCAACCCTAAGCCCTGGTGTAGTCCTTGTGGGAATTCCTGGCTTCGCATCTTCGGCTTCCAAGTTAAGTTGACTCCGGGGCTGCGGGCGCCTGCCAGAAAGGCCGCACCATGAACGGCATGACCAGGAGGCCAAGCACCTGAGGGCGTAGGGATTGAATGGGGTTTATATAGGGATTTGGGGTTTTGAGATTTAGGGTTTAGGGGTTTAGGGCTTATTTGGGGTTTAGAGATTTAGGGTTGAGGGATGAGGGATTGGGGTTTAGGGTTTCGGGGCTCTTCGAGCGATTTTAGGGGCAGAAGGGTCTGAGCGGGTCGCATATGTACGGCCTTGGGCTTTGACTTAAGTAAAGCCTTCATGCTGCAGCTGTGCTTCTGTTTTTGGAGCGTCGCAAGGTTTTGCTGTCGACTTCTCTGTGTCTGAACCTAAAACCAAACCCTTTAAACCCTGCGCCGCAGCCCCAAAAACCCAAACCCTAAACCCTAATCCCTAAACCCTAAACCCTAATCCCTAAACCCTAAGCCCTAAACCCTAAACCCAATACCCTAAACCCTAAACCCTAAACCCAATACCCTAAACCCTAAACCCTAAACCCAAACCTTCAACCCAAACACCTATTCATCAGCAGTATCTCTGCCCGGCTCCTCGCGG